TTTGTAGGGGGGAAGAGGGGGGTAAAGGTTATTTTTGTTGATGGGTGGTTTTTGTCTGACTTGGTCAATTTTTATTTTTTGGGCTGTTGAATCTGTTACCGGGCAATCTTTAGGACTTTTTCCTTTATTTTTTAGGGCTGTCAAATCTGCTGTTGGGCAATCTTTAGGGTCTTTTTCATTGTTTTTTAGGGCTGTTGAATCTGCTGTTGGGCAATCTTTAGGGTCTTTTTCCATTGTTTGAACCCTCCCCTTTATTATCCCCTGGTCCTAGTACGTTTTCCTCTGCCTTAGGTGGGTTTTCTAAGCATTGTCGAATGGCTGCTATTATGGGGAGGAAGGAAAGGGGCAAATGGTGCCTTTCCTGGATTTCCTTTTTATGAGCCAGATAGGCAACATTGCTCCAGACCTCTGGGTCAGAAATGTCTGCTGACAGGATCCAGGGTGCGAATTGAAATAATTTATTTTAAAATTTTGAGCCTTTCTTTTGGGAAATCTTAAGTCCTCTTGATTTAAGTAGGGCTCTAAGGGAGCAAATTTGGAGGTTTTCTTGGCATGATGCTGAATTACCCATTATAGAAAAGAAAGGAAGTGTTGTCAGTGGCGTTCAATGTGCCTGGGGCAGCCTGCCATGGGGGATTGAGGTGCTTTGACAAACACAAGCCTAGCTGCAGATTTACGGGACTGGCAACCATCCTTGTGACTTTTAACTGGGTGCTGCGTTACCAGATTTTTATGATAGTTGTAAAGGTTACTGCCTACACCCATTCGGGCTGTCGGGGTCCGGAAAGAGGGCAGGGGGCCTTTGGCCAATATCAGGGAGTTGCCCTGACCAAGAGGCTTCAATTGCCTGCAAACTGTATCCAGACCCTTGCGAAGGCAATAACCGAGATAAAGCAAAGAGAGAGAGAGATGGGATGGTCTTCTGATGAGCCCCTTCCCCAGGAAAAGGTTTACAGAAAAAAAAATGGCTTTTTAAAATTTTTTTTCCCGTTTGTATGGCGCAAGCTGCCTTAAATTCTTTAAGTGCTCCGCAGAGGCTAGTTGATTTAAATTCTCACCTAACTGGTTTAGCTTGGGCTTGAGCACCCCGGGGGGGGCAAGATAACAAAACAGATTAGGGAAGTTTGTTATTTTAGAAGTTGACTTTAAAGTTTTTATAAAAAATCCCTTAGAACTTTGGGGATTTTTTTTTTTCTAGGGGTGTTGTCCAGGATAGGAAAGGAAAGGGGGGTGAAATGCTGATTCCTAGGGGAACATGCCTGAGATGAAATCTCAGGTGATTCCACGGAGTCCACAGTGCAAGCCTGCCCGCAAATTTAAGAGATCTGGCAACCGCTCTAAGAACAATTAACTGGTCGTTGCGTTACCGGGTTTTTGCATTAGAAAGATGTATAGCTAGGGTGTCTTGTCTACACCCGTGCGGGCAGTTGGGGTCCGTTAAGAGGGCTAAAAGCCTTTGGCTAACATCAGGGGGTAGCCCTGATCAGAAAGCCTCAGTTTCTCCTTCGTCTTTAACGGTCCCACGCAAAGACCGAAAATAAAAGGAGGAAAAAGAGGAGAGACTGCCAATCCTCAAGGGTGGGATAGCTTTAAGGCAAAGCTGCCATTACCCTCTTGGTGAGAGGGGGTAGGAAAAAGAGATACTGCCGATCCTCAAGGGTGGGATGGCTGAAAGGCAAAACTGTCGCTACCCTCCTGGTGGGAGGGGGTACTCACAAACTCTGCACGTTCCAGGAGCCTCAGGTTCGGGCACCAGCTGTGGGGTCTCTTCCTTCCCTCGTGGGTCATTGGCCACCACTCCACGAGGACAATGGGAGCAGAAGCGATAAACGGGGTCAGGATGGCCAGTGAGCACTGACGGAAGAAAGCCCTTCCGGGGAGGCAGGTTCAGTGATGCAAACAGCTCCAGACTCAGTGAAACAGCTCCGTTTATATAGTGGGATGTTAGGGAAAATATAGTGTGGAGGCAGTAGCCAATGCTTCAGTTAATAGGTGCTCATAGTATGCTTTATTTATATGTGGCAGTAGGCTCCTATCATCCGACTACCGGGCAATGCCTAATTATCATATAGAAAAAATCTGGGGGTAGTTTTTACTCCAGGTAACTATGCCAATGGTCATGTTCCAAATAAGGTCAGGTATCTGTGCTTGGCGGCACTTTCCAGGTAAGTCAGGCAGAGAGCAGGAGGCCCCCTGCTGAGAAGGGGAGTCATTCCATACAGCGCTGAGCCCCTTAGAGCTATCTGGACATGGAGGACTACAACCCTAGCAGCAGGGTTCCCCAACACTTCACTATAATTTTTGGTTCATGATGCATTGTTAGTATGGAGCAGTCATGCCCCTCTTCTGTTCAAAATACTTCAATAATGAGCATGTAGGAACTCAAATCTTATTTAAGAACTAGAATTTCATAGAAACTCACCCATTTTACAGCTTAATCTGCTTTTGGCAGTGGATTTTCCCATCATTTTAAGTAGAGGATTGAACTTTTCATTAATCGAGTTGTACTAAATTTTGCACATTAAATACAATATAGACAGTTTGCTAGAGTACATGAAGAAAACACAGATTTTTCTTTTTTTAATACTTGTCACTCTAAAATTTTTTGATACTTATTTATTTTTAATTTTTACAAAAACTTTATTGAGAATTTCATACATGCATATAAGGTGTTTTGATCAAATCCATGCCCACTCCCTCCCCTCCACTTCCTCCCATATCTCCCCAT